ATTGAGAACTCTTGTCTTTATACTTCTTTTCACTAACCTTCAGCCTGCTTAACACTGCACACATAACCTCAGTATGTGATTTCATTGTTGCTGTAAAAGGAGACACACATCAGAATCAAAGCTTCACGTTTCTATCATAACAGGCACCGTGCTGCTAATTGAGTTTCATTATATATTTGGTTTTAATTTTCTGCTTAGCAAGAATTGACTTTTTTCTCCTCTAGATGTAATATTACCATACAGAAACTTCTCTCTTTCTCCATATAATGATATGCTCTTCCATGTACAAAGCAGAATTTTTTTTCCTTATTTTGGTTCAAATTCCACCCTTATCTAGAAAAACATGACCTAGTCTAATGGTGGCCACCATATGGTTCTTAACTTCAAGTAGCTCTCAAGGCACTTTGAGTGCAAATCCTGCACTGAAGTGACACAACATGGCCAAAAGCTGGACAGCTTGGCAGTATGAATCCCTTGCGACAAGGAAATGTGAGCCAGAGGTGCCCAAGGCCAATATCATCCCAGTTGCTTTAGGATCTGACTGTATGCTTAGCCTACAGTGGAGTTCGTGGCCTCTAGAGAGCTACTGTTCTCTCTCCCTTACAAGATGCTCTTAGACCACCTCTCACTCACTGACCCACTTGTCCAATATATACAGCTGTCAGACATACAAAGATTTTGCCACGTACCAAATGGAGGCACAAATGCCCACTCTGGTGCATTAGTTTTTAATACTTCAGGCTTTACACATTTTATGGTTTACTTACAAGAGAATATTGAAAGGACATTGACAGAATATGTCTTCCAAAATGACTGAATTTTTGCTAGTCACAGCAATACTCCCACTTGTGATTTTAAAACTAACCAGTAAGAAAGCGTGTAATAACTATATTGCCACAAAAATATTTTAAGCTGCATAATAATATTTGACACGATTCCAGATGTTCTTATGATATCAGTATTCATGACACACAGCTATTTGGCATTGTGTGTGTGAGAGACAGAATCTCTAATACTTACAGCCAATCATCATCATAGCAACAGCAAAGATCTTCTCCCCATCTGTAGTTGGAGCAATGTTCCCAAATCCAACACTGGTGAGGCTGGTCATCGTAAAATACAACGAGGAGATGTAGACCGAATCTTTGCTTGGTCCGCCTTCCCATTTTCCAAAGCCTGATGTGTTAAAGCGGTAAGGTGTTCCTATTGACATCCCCAGCTGATAGAGCCAGCTCTCAGTTCGGATCGTGTTTGTATCCTCATCGATAACTTCATAGTCTCCTATGCTGTACCAAATGCAGGCTAACCAGTGTGCTGCAAGACCAAACACGCACACCAGCAGAACCAAGACTGCCGCTCCGTATTCAATGTAGTGGTCCAGCTTCCGAGCTACACGACCCAGCCGAAGTAGCCTGACCACTTTAAGTGAACTGAAGAGACTACTGATGCCCTAGAAGAATAAAGCACAGCGACCATTAGAATTTAATATTAAAGCAACAATATTCATAAGTGCTGTTTCCAAAGACACGAGGTGATGCAACACGAATAGGTGGTCATTAGATAACACCTGAAAAGAGAGATTGTGAAACTTGAAAACGTTAGTGACCTTTTTCAGGGATGGATATACGCACTCTCGTCTTCATCCACTAACATTTGGTGGGCTGCTCTCTGAACTCCCCTTTCAGATGGTTTGAATAGGTCTACAAATACGTTTGTAAAGCTTCAAATGACAGGCTATTTATTGCACATCCAGTTGTGCAAGTAGACCATCCCAGGGTATCCCAATGCTACTTTAGGCTGACTGAAAATAAATGTGGAAGTCACTGACCATTAAACTATACAAATCTAATGTTGAGAGGTACATAACCAGACACCTATTGAATTCACTCCAGCATCTGGAGTCATGAACCTCTTATGGCTATTCCTGACTTCCGTACGATCCTGGGCAACACATGTCCTCTCACGTCTCAGATACAACACACTTCGCAGTATTTAGCTCAGACGTACCAGGAAGATAAATAAGGAAGGCCAAAAAATACTGGAAGTACCTGCTGATTTGTAATGTTTCAGTGTAACCGCATATTTCCTATGACTTTACTTTCATATAAGAACTCAGGTGACCAGTCCTCTGACATTTCTCACATGAACTACACAAAACTTAACTATTTCAAATATCTCACTGTCTAATCCCCACATCATATTGTTTTTATGACAGCTTTGTTACCAATGTAGTATTTCTGTGATGATACTAATATGGCTCCCATAAAACAGAATTAAGCCAGCACGTAGGATTTTGTATTGTTGACTTTTAGGCAGATTTGCAATCCCATGCACAAGAAGTTAAATAAAAAAATTCAAAGACATTTGGGACACTAGAAGATCTGAATAGCCTCTCATAAAAATCCTTTCTTCTTTTTTCTACTCCCTCTTATCAAGACTGTTTCATACGTAGAAGTCTGATTAAAATTTAAGCAGACTGGTTTAATGAGTATTTCTGGAAATGCATAATTGCATACTTCTGGTCACCAGCTTTTACTGGAAGTTTGTTTATTCCTGCATAAATACAACTTCTTCAGTATCTTAGGCAGGTTCAACGCACTAGAAGAGATGTTTTATTAAATAATTACATAAAGCATATTGACTCATGTTCTCCAGAACTGCAGCAATGTATTTCCCCTTTATTTCATGAATTTGTCATGATTACATTGACTTATTTTCAGAGACAGATGTAATTTGTTACCTGGGAACACACTATCAATTTCTATTAAGTATTTGGATAAGATCTGACACAACCAGGGGGAGGGGAGCAAAAAGGAAGGAAAAAAAGAGAAAAAAGCAGCCTTTCTTTAAATCAGAGATATTTGCAGAGATCTAGAAGAGACCAAGTGGTCTCTTCTTTTCATGATTATCTATGCCAAACTTTTCAAGTCACTGATGCAAAAATTCCTTCACAAAGTAAAAGTTAATTTCCATTTCCCATTCATTCCATACCTGGCTTTGTTTTGTAAACAATGGAGCAAAGCCTTGATGCCAGTTCAAAGAATATGACACAGAAGGCATAAGGCCTTCTTTTCCAGGGGAGGGAAAGCAGGTATTTCTGAACACTCAGTATGGAGAGGAAAAGCAAGGGGGAAAACACAAAAAATTGTGACAAGGACATATAGTCTCTACATTCTAAAACATCCGCATTCTGACATTACAACACAGACTTCTGGTCTTTTTCCTCAGGACCAATGCCCATTTCTCCCTTTCCTCTTTACAAACTTTAACAGCAAAACAATAACGCTTTACATTTTGAGAAGTCTCCAGTAATGGCCTGCTTTTAGCTTCAGTCTCAAAGCCAAGCTTTTTAATCACGCAGTGCTTACAAGTCTCAGGCAAAGGCAGGAAATTTTTCCACCCCAGCATTCTAAATACCAGTTTTATTTTTACTCAAAAAGAGTGGTGCAAAATTTGTTCTTAAAATTAAAACTCATCACTGGGATTTAAAAAACAAAAACAACACGCTGTTTGTAAGTGAGAGTCCTACCAAAACCAAAAAATAATAACGATTCAGGAAGGATTTAAGAGTTGGTTAACTCTTAATTGAAAAAAAAGTCAAGGATTAGAAATACTTGGGGGAAAAAAAAAAATCACAGAAGGGGAGCTTACGAAATTGGATATGAAAAATGGGAACACAAAATAAAATATTTGAAATTAGATTTAAAACATTAGATTTAAAACATTTAAGGCAAACTACTTCAATTTCAGAGTACTCTTATCCTAATTTCCCTTGTGAAATTCACAAAAAGAAATTTTGTAAGAACATTTAAAATGTGATAGAACAGCATCATCTGGGAGAAAGTGATTCTACCAAATTCTGACCAGAGGTAGAGCAAATTAGGTTTTTTGTACAAAAAGAACTTGCTTATTTACAGAAAATAAGTACCTGAACTGGTTGCGTTGAAAGGATGCATTTAATATTCAAATTATTCACATTATTTTTCACCTGACTGCATTGCCAATAAGATTCTAAAAGTTCAGAAAAAGCTAAAAAAAAAAACCAAACCAAAACCAACATTTATTTTTATCTCAGCATTAACAGTATTTTCTATTTGATTTCTTCAGAGAAAAGGATTTGTTTATTCTAAATGGATCAATATCAAGAGGAAGAAATGCCCAGGGAAATAATTATTCATATAGCTCTCTTAAAAATTTCTAAGTGACAGAATTTCAAATAGGTATAAACAATGGAAACTTAATAGACTGTTTCATAGACGATACAGTAGAAAAAACTCAGATCATTCTCCAATACTTCAAAACAGTACTTTTTGTCATTAAATTTAGCAAGTAATATTTTAATATTCACAGGAATAGATCTGCTGGATTCAAAATTGACATTTTTAGATTACCACTTTCCAAAATAGAACTGTACTTTTAGATTACTGTCCATTTTAATGCTCTTATCAGTGCAGATCATTTTTATGCTTTTATCTTATAGATGGCTCCAAGATGTCACGCAAAAGAGCCTGAACTCAATTTACTCCTCTTGATGCGTGTCCCACCGTCTTAGCTCTGCTACTCCTATAACCTTTGAGAGGCAGATTAAGAGACACACACCAAGCTCCTTCTGCCCAAAGGACATCGATAAACTTCAGTTCATAAAGAGCCAGCAATTGCACTACAGGTCCCAAACAGGCACCCCCAAATGCTCTGCTCTAAAGGATCACCATAAAGAACTTCTGCGTGGCAGGCAGGGAAAGGACAAGACTAATATCCCACAAAGTCCTGCTTGGGCCTGACTTACTCAGACACAGTTCCACCTATCACTACTCTATCCAACAGAACCCTTCCCCTAGGGGTATGCAGAAGCTAAGAGATCTGTTATACGGCCAGGGTAGAAAAATAGTGGTTTTACTGTTTGTTACAGAGATAACTTGTGCAGCACTTACTTAAATATGCAGCACTTAGTCAAATAGGGCAGAAAATGCTGAATTTCAAACAAACTTATATATCAAATTGTTTGAAGTAACTGAATGGCACTAATAAAGATTCTACTGCTGATACCTGCATATTGTTGTTGACAAATATTTAATAGGCTGGCAGTTTTACTTTTCGTTGCCAGTGATGGCTGATGCATGAAAATGGAAGAATCTGTAGCAAGTCCCCTCCAAACCAAAGGGCAAGCTGAAAGCCCTGAGAGCCAAAAGAAATAACTCTGTATTCGCTGATTGAGCAAACCTGAATGTCAAAAATCCTTGAAGTAATAAATACAACCACTCCCCTTTCCTCTGCTCCTGTGCCATCTTTGCAGAGTAGAACTGCACCTCAAACACAACAGAAAAACAGATCAGCCTCAGTTCTGGAGGAAAGCAGGACCCACATTTTACATTTAAAGAGAATGTTTCAGAAGTTTGTCCATTAAACACTGCCAGAACTAAATTTCCATCTATAATTTGTCATTAATTAGACCTACTCACTAGATACTGTGCACATTTACACAGAATTTCTTTTGTATCTCTTTGTTTTGTGCAAAACATGATCTACTGCCAGTACACCCCTTGTCTCACACTGGTATCTCAGCCATGTAAGTAATCATCTCTCCAAATGCAGGATCCAGGATATCCATGCTTTAGCTCTAGCTTTGCATCAGACAACATAAGATTTGTGCCATTACTTCCATATCCGTAAAAAGAGAGAGAGAAGAGGCGCTGTGATGAGTTACTGTGTGAAATGTTTTGAAAACAAAGGGCTGTAGCAGAGTAATTATTAGTTACTTGTGTCATTATGGTCCCCAAGAACAGTAACAGTGGAGACTACAGTGCTAGATGCTGTACAAATAAAAAACAGTTGCTGCTGTTCATTTGCCATGCCAAATTAAATTCTACTCAATTCATTGAATAATAAAATTCCACCTAGAAAAAAACAAAATACAAATTGTTTAAAGAACAGCAATAAAAATTAACTACAGCCAAAAAAAAAAACCACCCATGAGAAATAATTCATTTTCCCTTCCAAACAAGATGTAGGATGAACAACTTTAGAAAAGAACTAAAATGCAACTTTCATCCCACCTCCTACAGCTATAGTAATGCTACCACTTTAGTAATAGATTCAATCTGCATGACAGTATTCCCTTTTTAGGCCATTATTTACTTTGCACGTGTACAGAAAGAAAATGCACTTAACCCAAGCATTAAGGGTTTTTTCTAGGCTCAAAGGAAGTATAATTTACTTCCTACCTACTATCTATTTTAAAAAAAAGAAATACTCAGTATTGACACAAATCTGTTCTAAGTTTTCCAGCGCTCTCCTCTCACATGTAACTGCTGATATTCTGGCTTCACCTCAGTTAAAGGGAGATGCAGGACACTCAAAGCTAACCATAAAAAGAATTAGAATGAAACAGAACAAAAAAAAATTATTTATTTATCCCAAAAAGGGAGGCAATTAACCGAATTTATCACTACC